GTCTACTGCTATAACAGGACTCCTTTGTGTGTTCATTTATCTGTATCTGCTGTGTTGTGCTTCAGGGTTTATGCTGACCCCATGTGCTGCAGTGCTACCTGGCTCAGCTGACTGGGTGTAAAATTATAAACCAAAAGGTCAGGGCAGGCTCAGAGGCCTGATCCTAGTGAGGTCAATCAGTTACACATGATGAGGAAAGAGCTCAAATCAGTTACTTATTGTCACACAAACACTTTTTTGTCCATCCTCAGGCATCTCATCATGACATCATTTGTGATCATGCTCTCTTTGTGGCCTCATCATGAGATCACAGATTGCTTAACAGCTAGACATGCTCTAATGATAAGGATGAGTAACTGTAGCTATAACTGTGTTATGAGGGAAATATCTTTCTTTGTTTGCAAATTAGAATTTATTTTTGCACATTCACAGTTCAACAGCCATGGCTCTCCAGTTGCATTATTATTCTCCCCCAAAAACAATTGATTGTGAATTTCCAGCGGTAACACAGTTTAGACAGCAGATGGCAGTGGAGGTCCAGTTTTATTTTGATCCAAAAGTAGGGTGTGACTGTGCTGTAAGTTCCTAATGCCATCACTTTGTCTGCATATCAACCCTTTCACTCATATTAAAGCTTATGCAAAGAGCTGGATCCAAGCTTTTTATGCTGGGTTGTGTGTAATGTGTGTACATGTCCATTTTTGACAATAAAGTTAGTTTTGATTAGATTTTGATTTAATGGGCTGTTGTAATGGACAGTGAATATGGATATGGGAGCTTCCCAGACAGGATTTTGAGTTCAGTTCAGCAGTAAATAGACAGTGGATAAAAGACAGAGCGTACCATCAAAATAACTGAGCTGGTATATGTCTTATACCAGCTTTCCTAGAACGTGAGAGGAAAAGATCTTCTGTTGATACAGGCACATTTCCTGCCCACATCTACAAACCGATCTCCACATTTTGCATTTTACAGATGAAGGTGGAAAAGATAGACGGTGGATGGTGCTGCCCCACCCTCATGTTCTATGTATCATATCCTGTTTCTGTGTATGACACCACAGATCCAGCACAAGCCATGCTGCATCCATTATTTGGGGCGGCAGTAGCTCAGTGTGTAGGGACTTGGCTTGGGAACCGGAGGGTCCCACAGACCACAAAATATGGAGCTGAAAGAGGTGCCAGTTTCACCTCTTGTGCACTGCCGAGGTGCCCTTGAGCAAGGCAACCTAACCCCAAGCCTGCTCATGGGGCGCTGGTAACGTTGCAGACCCATCACTCCACCATCTTTCTCCGTTTGCATGTCCACAAGTGCATGAAGTGTGCATTTCAGCCTGTGTGTGTGTGTGTGTGTGTATAAAAAGAGTGAAAAGAACAACTTCCCCTGGGGGAATAATAAAGTATATCTTCTTCTTCTTCTTCTTCTTCTTCTTCTTACTCAGGCTGTCCCAGTTTCATGCAGTATTCTGGGCTTGGAGGCACCTGATGATATATGACGAGCCTGGGAGGGCTGTTTGAGAGAACATGGAAGCCTGTGCACATGGTTTGCATTGATATGAATTTATATATGTATGCATTAAGTCAGGCTGTTGCCTGCACTGCTGCATGCACATACACACTGAAGATCAAGTGTGTTTGGTATTGGAAATTTATTCCATCTCACTGCGGCCCCCCTGCCTGTGATTCTGCTGAGACTGCTTCCCTCTGATATCCTTTTATTGCTACGCCAGCAAAACACTCACTGGCAGGGAAGAAGTGCTTGGCATGCTTGTGTGTGTGTAGTGTACTGTATGTGTGTGTGTGTGTGTGTGTGTGTGTGTGTGTGTGTGTGTGAGAGAGAGAGAGAGAGAGAGAGAGAGAGAGAGAGAGAGAGAGAGAGAGTAGCCATTTTTCTGTACTTATCAAGGTTTTTTGTGCAGCGTGCGGGTGTGTGTTGCCTGTGCAGGTGTGAGCACTGCAGGAGTTTATGAATGAGGCACTACAGAGACGACACAGTGGGGGACCAATTTGTCAGAAAATGAGGCTTACTGTGTTCCTCCATTTACCACAGCTGTGCGGCTTTACAGCAGCTCCATTGGCCAGGTCACTGCGCCGCCCTGCGCGCAGTCCCCCTCTTCCTCCAACAGGTGGGGCCGCTGCGCCACAGGAGTCTGTTTGGCATGTAAACTGGGTGAAAGGCAAGTAGAAGACTACCACTGCTGACAGAAGGAGGCCAGCAGAGAATAATTGAACATATTCAAATACAGTAGCTCCTCTTTTTTGTATGCCTCAGAGTGATTTGCATTCTACCCAGGGTGATATGTTCGCTGAAGGTAATGCGCCCCCTGTGCACACATATCCCTGAGAATGTTATTGTATTTGATTGACTGACAGCAGATGTAAAGTGTTGTTTCTGACTGACAGCAGGCTTCAGAAACTGGCCATTTGTCTCATTTTTATTCTGGGCACCGCGTTGTTTTCCTCTTTGTTTTGTTGTTTTTACATATCTCAATCAAATGTATCCACCTTCCACATCTCTGAATTGGAATAAGAGGTTGCTGAGAGAAAGGCAGTGTCAGGGGGTGTAAAGAGGCGCAGAGACCCCCCGCAGGCATGTTCTATTTCTTTTTAATTTTTCTTGAGGTTTCAGTGGCTCTGACACATCACCACTATACATTTACGCAGCAGGAGACGTTTCTGTTGCATCGATGTTTCTTTACGGTTGTGGCGAGGTTTGGTGGCTTTTCTCAAGAAAAAAAACCCTCAACGACTTCACAGAGCTCTTACCACATGACTCTGGAACAGGCACCAAAAATACACACCGTGTGCATTGCAGGGCTTGCTCGAGCACCCTGCATGCACGTTTGACACCCCCCCTCCCTTCCCACCACACACACACACACATCCCCCATCTTGTTTTGAAGCAGTGGCAGATGGGAATCACTTTGCTTTGACTTCCATGCGTGTCCTTCTCTTGGTAGCGATTTCCAGAAATAAGTGTGTTTACTTGATTTAAATCAAATTCAAACTGCAGGCTGTGTTTTAATGATTTGTTTGACACGGACACACACACACACACACACACACACACACACACACACCAGTTTCCATGAATATAGCACATGTGAATCGGTGGCTCAGTCCTGCTGAATTATATATGTAGTATACGGCAACTGCGTATTTGCATGCACGTAACTATATTTGCACTTCAGCATGCAATCATCCCAATGCAGCTCGTTTTATTGAAACTAAGCAGTGATGCTGAAAAGTGAACAGCAACATCCAATTACAAAATCATGAAAACTATATAGGAATATTTATGACCGTCAGGGTGCACGAGGCCGACTGTTTGTCCTCGAGCAGAAAGCTCTTCACCCTCCTCCTCCTCCTCCTCTCCTCGTCCACCATAAAACCCTGCAAGGCACTGTGCTGATTGGCAGGTTCCCCATGAGAGCTGTATGTGCTATATGTGTGTGCGCGCTTCAAGTGGAGGGGGTGGTTGTGTGTGGTGATGTCAGTCACACACTGTTTATTGTGTGTGTTTGTCTGTGTATGCATGTTTGTTTCATTCCACCGGGAAACATGACAGTGCAATTAGCCTTCCTCGCAGTCACGTTGAGGAAGTGTCTTGCTGCAGTGCAGTAGCAGCAGTAAGGATACAGTAGCCGTGCAGAGCGTGAGACAAGGTATGATGAATGATTTAGCCCTTTGGCCACGCAGGCACTCTGTGAGAGTGAGGGAGCGGACTGGGATCGGGAGGGGCCGCATTAAATATCCGGACTGTTCCATTCATGCAATATTATAAATATGTTTTTCATTCATTTCATTACATTATTCGGGTTTTATTAGCACCCCCCAGTAAAGTGGAGTGATGTTGTTGAAAGGGTGGGTGCTTATACAGGAGGACATCTTTCTGTGTTTATTTATTTATGTATTTTTTTTTCCAGAGAGGAGTGAACCCCCAGCTGAATTAATCAATGCTGCCTCTGTGCTCCGTCCCCTGTGGGTTAATGCAGCCACACCGCCGGGGTGGGGGGGATCAGATAGTCTGGGCGCCAAATCAAATCATTTACCTGATCCTTCAACTGATAGGACAAAATTACCCCCCCCCCAACAGTGATATTTGGAAAATCGAGCGGCTAAAGGTTGATGTGAGATATGGTGTCCAAGGCAAACGATAAGAGGCAAACAACGAGGGGAAGAAAGAAAAACACAACTAGTCTAAGAGTGGGGGGTAACAGATGTTCTCCTTCTGTAATCTTTGTTCCGCAGAATAAAAAACGATGTTAGCGGAATGAAAAATTGTGCTGTGGTATTATATTGACTCAGCAGCGCTTTAGGCTATAAATCATGGTTTTCAGTACTTTTCCACTGCAGCCCCACATAGAGGACGGGCTCGGAGCTTTTAAGTTGGACCATCCTCAAAGAACCCAGTTGGTGTATATAGGCTATTAAAAAAACATAATCTACCAAATGGTCCCATCTGCTCCTGCAGTAAGGCATCACGGGGATAAGCCTAACCTAGAAATAATAGTCTGTGTTATTACCATCAAATGATGAAGGTGAGAGCTTGAACATAAACCACATAATGTTCTGAGTGTTGGCTGGTGGTTGTTCTCCGGGTTTAGTGTGTAAGTATCCTTAATAAAGGATTCTGGATGTGTCTTCATTGGGTTATTTTGGTTGGATGGATTTAGTTGCACAAAAATGCACAGATATATAATATATATTAATAAACACTAACTCAGGTTATAATAATTTAGGATGGTCACACAGTAAATGACTTTAGTCTGTGGTGAACTAGTGAATGAAGTTACAGTTGAATTTAACCCGTGCGTAAAATTCTGCATTTGTGGATGGGACATAGTCCTATATATTGTTTAATAATTTATCGTTATTATCGAAATCTCAATATGGCCAAGTGCAATAATCAATATAAAATATGTGACAAAACAGGATTATAATGAAGTACTGTATCTCCGGATTTAAGAAAACGTGTTTGTTTGGTAAAGAAAAAAAATGTCACATGATCATGATTTTAATAGATTTCTTGGGGGGGTGAAAATCCAATTAGTGATGCAAAAATGATCATTCCCATATAATCGTGAATCACAATATCTGTCAAAATAATCTGTGTCATAAAAATTTATGAATGCCACCACGACGCTCCACTGCCCATACAGCGGACAAACCCACCTCAAAAGGGGCGATAACCCCCCGCGAACGCCGCGGCATTTGACAAGAAAAACAACAACGAGAAGATGAAACCTGCCTCCTGCACGCAGGGTGAAAAGACGGCAACAATGGGGGCCTAATCTAAAGGCATTGTCTGAATTCCCAGTCGGAGCGATTTGGAGAACAAAGGCCGGCTTGGTCCCCTCGGACGGGCCCGGGACGGGACATCACTCTGATCTCCGCCTGGTAATTCCCTCCCCGGGTCCCGTCCGGGATGACAGGCGCTGCGAACAGACAGGTCAGCGGGGTGAGGGCTGTCGCGGAGCGGCCTCTTCGTTTTTGCTCCGCTCGGCGGTGCTGAGGTCGTCGTAAAAAATACGAAATAAATACAATGGGTTAAAAAAAAACACCGAGGTGTGACAAACCGAGGGTACCGTGGCCTCACCGGACAGCCACACAAGCGGACCCATGTCTCCGCAGCATGCGTCCGGAGCTGCAGCGGAGGACGGACCGACTGTCTCCTCTCCTGCAGCGGGTTTGTCTCCGCTGTAGCGCTTTACTTTCCCCTACCGGAGGGTCGCCTTGAAACCGGCGCACCGCGAGGAGGAGGGACCGGAGAAGTGGGAGAGGGGGTGACATGGGGCAGCTTGAAACCGCCTCAGATTTTTTTAATCAACATTTTTTGCAACTATGTAACGCGGAGCGGGTTACCTCAAAGGAAATGTACGGATCATAAAAATCCGCGAGAGTCAGACAGTACTGTGCACGAGGTCATGTGAGAGGGGTAAAGGTCGACCACCCCCACTTTCTAAATTTTAGCATAATGGCACTAAACGAGCACGCCACTTTTTCTCCTCTTCTAATGCAAATGTGTGTGTGTGTGTGTGTGTGTGTGTCCGCGCTAAGACTCGACGCAGATTAAACACAGGGAGACATCCAGCGTTGCTTCACCTATACAGTCCTTGTTTTGGTGCATTTGCATACTGAAAGCCGGCCATTATTCCTCGGTGAGGACTGGTGTGGGCAATCTAAACTGTTATGAAGGCGACAACAATGATAAGTCTCGCTTTCCCTGGCTGATATGATAAAGGTCCAGGATGCCACTGACCAACCTGCCTGCACAGCCGCCATATATTGCTGCCCCAGATCGGAGGGCCTAACAATAATATATATACATACAATTACATTTAACGGTGTGGCATTAACAAAATACTTTTACATACATAACTATAGACTATATTATCTCTCTCTCTCTCTCTCTCTCTCTCGCTATATATATCTTCACTTTGTACACATGATGCACATGAAGTGCTAACAAACTTTATTTTATAAAAAAAAATATTATTATTGTGTAGCCTTCTTCTCAGCCTGCACTGGAGACTGTGGTGAGTGCATGGACACCTCGGTCGGTTGTCAGACCTAAACTTCATGCCAATCTATATTTTTTGGCTCATTTTTCATTTTCCTGTAACCATATATCAAGAATGATGAGCCTATTATGGTTTGGTTTGTCCATGGGGAAAGCAACGCCCAAATTATGGTCGCTCAAATGAAATTGAATAATTCAATTAGAATTAATTGATTGCCATCTCATGTTTTGATTTTCAGTTTGCATTCAGGCACATTTCTTTCCCTTTGGCAGAGGTATTTGGGTGTAATAGAAAGGTAATTTACCGAGTTAAGTAATAATCTGCCGCTTCCTAGTGAGAAAAAGGTAACTAAATAAATAAAATAAATAAAAAAACGAGTGCAATATCTTAAACAACGCCCCTCCACTTTCAGCTTCCCAATCTTTGAGCGTCTATTATAACCAGCGTGGAAATGGGTGGTGGTGGTGGGCTGGTTGGGGGGAGGTCGCCTTGAAACTGGCCCCCACCACCACCGTCCCTACTAAAAACAGAAACCCACTGCTTGTTTTGATCACTCTGTCTTGAAGGGAGAGGGGACCTTGAAACGGCTCAACCTCCTTGCTCCATAATTGGTTTTATAGTGCTGGCGAGCGGCCAGTGTTTTTTTTTTTTTTTTATACACTGGGACTTTGATTGACACGTCGCGCAGCCAATCAGGTTGGAGTGGCTGTGTGAAACGTAAAGGGTGGCTGGGGTTGGGTGGTAGCGAGAGAGATGGGCGGGGCTTGCAAAACAATGCTGTGTTTCATTGCTGAGGAGTTTACGGACGCGTCAGGGGCTGTCTCTCTCTCCCCCCAGTTATCCCCCAGTTTACCTTCGGACGAGCCTGTAATGGACTACTCCAGTTCTCCCAGCAACCTGGACGGATTTTGAGAAACGTTTGCATTTTTAGCTCCTTCCCCCCCCCACTTCATATTTTCCACATTCAAGTAAGCGGTCGGCATGTTTTTTTTTTTTTCTTGTTTTAGTTGTTTCTTCTCTCTCCAGCTTAAGTGTCAGTTCTCGGTGTTTTTAAAAAGATAAATATGTTCTGTAAATGTGTGTGAAAAGGGCGCGGAGGTTACTGCGTGCGACATTTTGGATTTTTTAGTTGCTTGCTGTCGGTGTGAAAAGGCCACTTTTGGAGACGTTTCCGCCGAGAAAGTTTTGTGTGTCGTTAATGGAACCGTGAAAAGTTTGAAACGTGGCTGAAATGCAGCGCTTCTCCGCTGCCGTGCCCGCATGGATCACAGCGGACAAAAAGGATACAATATAACCAACCTCCCCGGCGGGTTTCTGGGGGCTTAGAGGCTACATTTGGGTCTGCTGGTGGATTTTTTCTGAACCGGGAGGGGGGAAAAAAAGGTTTATTGTGATTTCTGAACGAGCCATTCTTCAGATCCCGCCCGCCTGGATATCACGAGTCATTGCCGTAATGTGTTTGCTTGCAGCCCTTTTTGAAGGTTAACTCGACTTTCGTCCTGTTTTTAAACTTAAATTCACACAGCTTACAGTCGTTTAAAGGCTGTTTATTTTTGGGTTAGTGTGTAAATAAAATGTTTGTGTTCCACAAGACATCAACGCGTCTCCTTGTTGCCTGCGGATAAAGTCGCTGTTGCTTGTTGTTGTTCCCCTTAAAGTAACTTTTATTCTATTTTTATGTGTTTGAATATCACGCACACATACATCCGAGCAGATTGTGTTTCATAATCTGTTTTTCCAGAATGATTAAAATCGACCTTTAACAGATTAAAAACGCTTTGCTTGAGTCGAGACTGATTAAAACTGAATATCCGTCGATTTTATGGTGTAAAACACAGTGATATATTTTAATACCAGCTCAAAACTTGGGTCCGGGTGGTAAACCGACGATAATGTGTGTATCAAATTAGGGTTTTAGTTTTTAAACAGTGGCCTGAAGTGTTTACGGGTTGGGTTTTGATTTCTTTCCTTGGGCAGCACCCATGTCCAATTGCGAAGTAGCCCGGGCTAAATTCGCATCTGTGGGCAACAAAACACCGCTAACCCCGCTGATGAATGATGCAGGCTTTTGCGACCTTATTTATTTTTAACCCCTTTGAAATTTATATTTGATGCGCCTCCAGTATTTATGGTGTATTGGTTTACAGGGGCGACTCGGCCCATAGCCTACATTTCTGGTTTACGGGTTAGGAATAAAAAAAATTTAAAAAAGCAGCTGGGTTAATCGGAAAAGATGGAATAGGTTATCAAAATTTGACCGTACGCGTTTCCATCGCGGGATCTGGGTGTTTTTCATGGCCGGGGCAGAGCAGCTGGCCGCCCCATCTCTTGGCTGTGTTTCCCTGGGAAGCGGAGCCCCGGAGCGGCTGCCTGCTCGCCGTGCGGTGGGGGTGGAGTGCTGCTAGTCCGCTCAAACAGTAGATGTTAATATTGTAGATATATTTTAAAGCTGCGTGGAAACCCGCAGTTAGGATACACCAGGAGCAACTCATCTGATCTTTCTGTCGACCAGCTAATATTCAACGTTTAGTTTTTGAAGTGGTTTTCCAAACTGCGTCATTGCACGTATGGACCGCCTGTTCGCTGGAAAGAGGGAGAAATCCGAAAACTACCATTTCCCAACAGTTTGCTCAGTGTGCCATTTAGATTGTATATCAAGCGATTTTTCTCTTGTTGTATTTTATAGGTCAGCAGGATGGCTGAGAAGGAGCCCGAATCGCCTGGAAAACTAAAGACATTATTATAGCCAGAATTGGCTTTTTCGGAATAGGGGGCCTATCCGAACAGACTATTTCTTTTCACAACTTTTCCCTCTGTGGATAATGGATGGCAGAGATTTTGGACCTCCCCGATCCGTTCATTTACCACCTCCGTTGTTGGCGGGGCTCGCAATGGAGTCTCACCGACTCGGAGCAGCAGCAGCAGCCGGGAGGATCCCTCCCTCGCCCGGTCACTTAGGCGCGAGTCATCCGCCGCCTCTCCACTCTGGAAAATTCTTGCCATCGGCCATTAACCTACATCCACACCACAGTAAGTAGGCTACATGGCGTTATACTGTTTAAATGCTGCAATGTGACTGTCCTCCACTAAAAGCACAACCCTAAAATAATCAAATATTAACTTGAACTATCGCTGCGCAAAAATGCGCACAGATTGTGGATGCCCGTGGCAGCATGTACGGTCATCCCTTGGACGTTGCTACGGTGTTCTGTGAGAAATGAACCCAGATGTAGATTTCATAAGGAGGAGTGGCTGTTATAAACCTGTGACAAGTTTCAGATGTGAAAGTATGGGGTCGTGTTAAGGATTCCCAGCCTTTGCGATGGGCAACGCATTAGCGGAAAATTACTTGGCAGTTTGTAACACACACACACACTCACACACAAACACACAGCAGCGGGTGTTGTTGCAGCACTATGCAGGTCAGGGTGCAATGGTCTTGGATTGCATGTGGATCATTACACCGTCATTGCTGTGAGAACAGATGCAGTTTATGTGTGCGTGTTTGGGAGAGTGGGGGTGGTAAAGTTTTGACCTAAAAGGGATGATAGACCACTTCTTGCCCTGTTCAGGGAATTTGCTGGAGTGTTAGTGTGAGTGAGGACTGGCTGTGGTTCAGTCTCTAGTATTTGGAGTAAAAGCCACTGTCCTGGAACATTTGGCAAATTGCTGATGCTGCTTTTTTCCCTGCATTTGTACCAATTCTGTTGGACATCCCCTGCTGCTGCTTCAAGTAGGCATTGGGGGAACTGTGTGAGAGGGAAGAGAGAGAGTGTGTTTACTTCAGTGAGCAAATGTTGGGTGGAAATTGGATGGTTTTGATGTCTTTGACCATTAAGGAGAAGGTGTGGTATGAACCAGACAGAGGCTCTTTAATGTGAACCCCCATGTGTTTGTTTACTTCACGTAGGGGTGTGTAAGTGTTCCTGCATTCTACTGTATATGTTATTCCCCGCTGAGCAAGTCATTTTCATTTTACTTTCACTGCCTGCTCAGTGATATCTGCTCTTACTATTGGTAATGGAAGCTTTGAAATAACACAGTGCAAAAAAAGATAACATTGCATGTTTGCATACAGTTTTGTGGTCAGTCAAAGGGAAAGTCAGGGCTCTGTCATCTGGGTTCAAACCAAATGGTGTGTGTGTAGGAAACCTAGGTCTGCCGTGTCTTTTGGAAAATGGAAAGTCTGACAAACGCTCTCATCGAGTTACTTACATCCCCCTGAAGTCATGTAGCTGCAGACAGAGATACAATTACAGTTCCTCTGGTTTCTTTTCATAGGTAAACCCCGGAGATAATAATATTCAGTTTAGCTGTGTTCCCCCCGTCCTTATCGCTGAGCGTGGTTTCAGTGCAGCACTTGTCATTTGGAGCGCAAGGTACTAGAGGTCTAGTAAAGTAAGGCAGTGCACCCAGGGCAGGGCTCTGAAGCGTTAATTTGACACACCGACAGAGCCCACACACTCCACTCACACACATGCACAAGAGAAGCTGTCAGAGATGAAATCAACTCGCAGCGGGGAGTGTGAGGATGATTGACGGGTGTATCGCGGAAAAGAGATGTGCCAGGGCGCATTTTATTGCAGCTAGTTGAACTGATTTTGCAGCTCTGGGACAACAGGGGAATGTTTTCAGGTGAAATGATCAGACGTGTGGATTTACTGTAAGCCGTGCAAATATAATTTCTCTGTGAAATGTGTCTTTTGTAGCAGCAGTAGCAGTGTACTTCAGTTTGGATGATGTCCCCGCCTGTGGCTCTGAAATGAGCTGAAAACTGCTTGCGGGGTGTGTGTGTGTGTAAGAGAGAGAGTGAGAGAGAGAGAGAGAGAGAGAGAGTGCGACTTGCTTGTGTGGAACAACTTGATGTGTAACCAGGGGGGTTTCTGAAGTGGAATTGACCCAACCACTGTTCCAGCCCAGATTGGCAGTTTAAACACTCCTTTAAATCGGGATGCATTTTATTCTGCCCACACATTGACCTTCTCACTCTCTGACTCTCATCTCCCCTACGCACACTCTCAACCTCCACCCACTAAAACACACCAATGTACGATGCAGGCCATTTAGCTTTACGGCACTCCTCAATATCAAATCCCCACACATCACTTTAGCCAACTGAGATCTCAGTCCCATGCTCGTAATAACACCACACAGCCTTGTTACACGATAATTACCCGGTAAACGCAAATGTTCATAATGTTCCTGTTTAATTGCAATAAACAGCATGAATCCGGTGCTCAAGGGCCCAGCATGCAATCAGAGGAGCCAAGGTCGCCCCGCTACTGATTTTGTTTACACATGTTTTGTGGAATTTGAGATGTTTTCTTTTGCGTCGTTGTTTTGGCCGACCTCGTGATAGCAGAGTTGACTGTTTATAGCTGCCTACACACCCTTATTTCCCAGGAGTCTCCCTTATTTTAGTTTAGTTTTCCACCTTACTTTATAGAGTGTCTCCCTTATGTTCACAGCTCAAGGTTGGCAGATGTGTGTATCTTAGCTGCACTGTGAAGCTGCAGATGGTTTGTTGCCATTTGTGCTGCTTGTACACTGCATCAAAAATAGGACCTCTGTAAAGACATTTCCATCAGCAAATCCTGCTTTATAACCCACAGAACCTGTTCCTATTCATTCACGCAGGTTATATCTAAACACGGTAAGGTTTTATAGTCTCTTGTTATTGATGTAAAATGGCTGTAAATGGTCCTCTGTCTACTGGAGGTCTGCCGAAAGCCTCCATAACCAGATTGAGGCCATCTGTCCTCCTCCCTCCCTCTCGCATCCCAGAGCAGCAGAGGTAGGACCTGCTGAAGTGTGACTGTACTGAGGAGGCCATACCCCAGAGACTCTACTGTTACAGCTGAAGGTTGACGTGGCTGCATATTATTTTATTGTGAAGGGTGTGTATGAAGAATCAAGATTATGCAGGTGGTGAAATAGAAGCCTTTTCCCATTTGAGCAAAATTTTTGGTGCTGTGTTTTGGTTTCACTGCATTTCCCAGAGATCACTTGATGATTAAACACCCCCTTTCAGTGATTTTTGACCAGCTGATTACTCAGTTTTGTTTGTTTAGAAGATCTGTTTTGCTGCAGCTGTAACGTAAAGCACATCACTTCTTGCACACCGGCGACTTTTTACCGGCTGTTGAGATCAGTAAAAATTGTAAAAGCGTACATAAACTGGGTTTAGGTTGTGTTATATCAATTGGCCATTGTTTTATGATCACTTTACCTGCATGAATGACCTTACAAGTTTAGGAGTACAGTTGAACAAATGCATGTTTAATGAGGTGAAAATGTCATTCAGGGCGGCGTCCCTCATCTGTGAGATTAAGGGATAACACGTCTGAACCAGCAACTTTTCTGCCCTTTTGTCTCTCTTACACACGCACACACGCACACACGCACACACTCACGCACACACGCACACACTCACTTTCTGTGTTCACTAGGGAGTAGCAAAAGATAGTGAGATGCAAAGGCAAATGTAGGTGTTGTGGTAGAGAAGGGAAGTGTATGGAGATGAAAACGGCAAAAAAAAAGGAAAAGGAGGTCTAAATAGGAACAATCCCTAAGGTGGAAAGCAGTGTTTTGGTTTCAAGTGTGTGTGTGTGTGTGTGTGTGTGTGTGTGTGTGTGTGTGTGTGTGTGTGTGTGTGTGTGTGTATGAGAGGACTGAGGTCTTGTGTATGGGAATGGGAGCATGTGATTGTGCTTAGTGCAGTTAGAGCTGGGGTTTCCCCCTGGGACTCTCTGCTGCAAGAGATTTATCCTGACCACAACACATTCATACACAGTTAGATAAATGTGGTAGCCCTTCAAATGTTCTCTCTTTTGGTCACACACACACACACACACACACACACACACACACACACACACACACACACAAAGTATAATTCACATAGCTTGCGGGGCAGGCCAGGGTTGTCTCGGCCGATACCAATTTGTCTTCCACGCCACTTGGCTAGTGTGTCTGTATACGTTAAAATTAATGTGGTGAGTGTGTGTTTATATGTATTCAAGACACAGACGTGTCTGTGTGTGTGTGTGTGTGTGAGCACGCGCAAGAAGATATGGCTCGGACACATCCCCTCTCAGATTAATTGAATCCTTCAGGAGAGAAAACAGGCTCCTTAAGAGAAGGCACAAGGCACTGCTGCCCCGCTACAATAAACCTGTCAGAGGCAGACAAACGACACACCGTCATAAACACACACAGACACAAACACACACATGACGCACACACATACACACAGCTGTCAAACATAAGAGTAATAGGCCGGTGTGTGTGTGAGAAAACGAGCGTGCCGTGGCATGTTGAAATACCCAAAGCATTAGCTAAGTCGTTCACTCTGCCAGAACCCTCCCTTTAACTCAAACAACACACAAAGGTCACTCACTGCGTTGTGTCTGTCTCTTTGGCTGCATGTTGAGTCTCTACGTGTCCCATTACATAAGGTTTATAATATTCCTCCAAACACTCTGCGTGCAAACTCAAAATGGGTAGTGACATGAAAGAGACACACAGGATTGACGTGTGAGAAGTCAAATTCGTCTATTTTTTTTACAATGTGCTTCAGCCAGTTGAGCCACCGAGACAACATGCACATTTGCCTATTTGTGACTTGACTTTTATTTTTTAAAGCATCGTTAGACTTTTAAATCATTAGCATCTAAACCTGAATGAATGACACACTCACCGTGTCCTTTTCTGTTGGTTTGGTCTCTGCACCAGCATCCCCAGGAACAGTCTTACTCAGAAATATACTGATAACATTCATCACCTATTTATTTGTTGAAAAGATTAGATAATTTCCTGTCAGTCAGCACCTCAGTGGTTTTTGAGTTTTTATGACAATCTTTAGTTGTAGATAACTGTTAAACTAAAAGTCGACCAACCCTGTGCTGCAGGCGTAGATGTAGTTGTCACTTGTTCTTGAATGTGTGTGTTTCATTTGATCTGCGTAACCATGCAACTGTGCATGCCATTCGGTCTGTGTGTCACACTGCACGATTGTGTGTGTGTGTGTG